CCCCAAATACAGTGCTCCTCTTGGCAATATCTTCTGGATTATGTATGGATCCTTCCAGTTAGGAGCCAATTTCCTTTGGCTTCTTGGTGACGAGGGAGAATGTGACTTAACACGAGCTGTCCTACTTCAAAATTTCTGGGACACACCTTCTTGTTGTAAGGGCGGGCCATTCTTTGTTGGTACAACTGCCCGGAGGTGCCCTGAGTACATCACACTCTTTTGTTGTAATGTATGGACCTTTCCAAACCGCGAACCAATTTTCCTTCAATTGTTCCAATTCTTTGTTTTATTTCCTCAAGGTCACCTTCTTTGCATTTCGACCTTGATTCATGATTTCGAAATCTGACAGCATTTTGGGGTCTAGGCATGAAGTCCGCAAGCATGTCATGTTATTTAAAGCTGCATTATTAGAACTAAAGAGAAGAAAATGAAGGAGAAAAATAGCAAAATCAGAAAGAAAAATGAACGAAGAAGTTTTGATTTCATTGTTTTTTGGAATTTTTTTTGGAATTCTAAAGATAACAGGGTTCACATTCGGGAATTTAAAAATAAGAAAACTACAGGAAACATCCGAGTTACACCTGGAATAACTCGGGATGCAGAAAAAGTAGCAGGACAGGTCTACCGAGACTCCCGCCTAATCGGGAATGGCATAGCCTTCCAGTTTTGAAGTTTGGCATCTGGTCCCATGTATAGCACCTCAGCAGTGCTAGTGCCCTCTCCTGGCTGGACCATGTGGGTTTCGTAGAGCATTTTCCTCATTGCCCCACGTATTTCCTCACTTTCTTCAGCCGTGAAACCTCATCATCTCCCCCTCTACTGTACTTAGGCTTCACAATAGTTTCATACAAATGTACCACCTCATAATCGGCCATTTTCATTTTTTGAAAGAACATTTCTGCTTCCTCAGCACTCACAGGCTTCTTGGGCGGGAAGCGCCTTCTGGTGGCATTGTTTATCTCCTCTACATTTGAATATTTCTCAACAAGGGGTTTTTTTAGCAGCTCACCCAAGATCTCTTTACCCTTGTACGTAACCATCGTCGGATGACGATTCCATGGTACCGCAGCAGGGTTGGTCATAAGCTTCTATGGTACGCGTCCAATAACCACTGGCTCACTCAGCCGAGGTGGTTTGATTGTCCCCCGTACCACATAGGCTTGCTTGGGTACATACATTTGTGCTCCTTTTTTCAAATCAGATTTCTTTTCTGGTTCTGTCTTGGTGATTTGCTCTTCTTTTCCCCTTTCTCTTGCTTCAGGGTCACCTTTGGCTTTCTTTCCGCATCAACGATAGCAATTATAACTTTTAATGCTGGATCAAACTCTCTGTCTTCACAGATCATCCCGATCAACGGCCCGTTGTTGTGGGTTGGCAGTGGATTATTGTTCACATTTGGGATATCCTCATCCCTCAGTATTATTTTTCTTTGCTCTATTAAGTTTTCCACCGCTTGTTTCAGGGTCCAACAGTCATTTGTATGATGACCTTCTGCCCCTGAATGGTATGCACACCTGACACCAGCTTTGTAGGCAGGCGATGCCGGGTTTTGTCTGTTCTGAGGGACCGACTGCAGCAAATTCATTCGAACGAGCTTCGGGAACAAACTGGAGTATGGTTCACCGATTGGTGTAAAGTTTAGTCTCCTGGGTGGTTCCCGAGGACGGAAGTTATTTTATGGAGGGCGGGGGTTATAGTGGTTTTGGTGAGGAGGCTGATTTCTTTGAAATGGAGCTTGGTTTCTATTGGCATGTGGTTGCGGCCGAGCAAAGGGTTGAGCATTCATGACCGCATACGGTTGAGGAGCATAAGCCATGTCATGGTGAGGGTAATGATGTTGAGGGGTTCTTTCAGAGAAGATGGGTCTAGGGGCCCGGTGTCTTCTTGCCCCTGATGCTGCCATAACCGTTTCTTCTTTCTGTTTACCCTTGGCCATCCCTCCAGACCCGCCTTGAATGGCTCGGGAGGTTGCTCTAATGGCTGACTGGCTCAAGATTCTGCCTGTCTTCAGACCATTCTCCACCATCTCACCGATCTTAATTGCCTCTGCAAAAGGTTTACCCATGGCCGACATCATGTTCTGAAAATAGTCCACTTCCTGGGCCTGGAGAAATACAGTGACCATTTCCACTTCGTCCATTGGTGGTTTCACCCTCGACGCTTGCTCACGCCACTTAATAGCATATTCCCTGAAACTTTCTGATGGCTTCTTCTTCAAATTCGCCAAAGAGTTCCTGTCCGGCGCAATGTCGATGTTGTATTGAAACTGTCTCACAAAATCTCTGGCAAGGTCATCCCAAATGTACCATCGCGAGACATCTTGGTCCATATACCATTCCGAGGCGATGCCTACCAAGCTTTCTCCGAAGTAAGCCATCAACAACTCTTCCTTTCCGCCAGCCCCACGCAACTGATTGCAATACTTTTTAAGGTGAGCAATGGGATCGCCATGTCCGTCATACTTCTCGAACTTTGGCGTTTTAAAACCCATGGGCAGGTGCACGTGAGGGAACATGCACAGATCTGTATAAGAAACACTCTTTTGCCCACTCAAACCTTGCATATTCTTCAAACTCTGTTCAAGGCTTCTCATTCTTTTCGCCATCTCATCTTGTTCAGGAGCTTTGGGAGTTTGATCTTGTCCTGGCGTAAGCTCAAAAGGTGGTGGCTGAGAGTAATTATATGTGGGATATTGAGGAGGATCCACTGGAAGGACAGGGTTTTGGAAGGTGAAAGCTGAGGGATCAAAGACGGGCCTTGGCAGTAAGGGTTGTGTTGTAGCAGAGTATGGTGGAGCAGTGAAGATGTTAGGAGCTGCTCCTGCTGGGAACACCTGGGGGCGGACCTCAGAAGGCGTTCCGACGAAGAGAGCGGTCATGGTAGGCTGTCACAAAGGAGTATGAGGGTGGCTGATGGGGATATTGGAGGTACCCCCGGATCTAGGGAATAATTCAGGAAATCCAGGGGATGGCGCTTGGAGGCTCTCTTCCATTGGTCCAAGCGTCCTACATCTCCATGAGTCGGAGTACGTAGTACTCCGGTTCTCTTCCACTGTGACAGACTCAGATGCCGGGATCCCCGAGACAGGGCTGTCCTCAGAGATGGGGACTGCGGGCAAAGTTATTTCTATAGACATTTCCACGCTTCCTTTCGATCTGGTAAAGTATTGATGCGATGCCAGCTTACCACAACCAACCACCATTTCTAAAAGCTAGGCTGGAATTGACAGCAACACACGGTTAGTTTGAGACAAGTAACATATAGGTAATCGCACATTGGGGTGTGATNCCCCCCCCACACACACACACACAAGTACTTTCTAAAGAGCTAAGTGATTGCATATGAATCTACATTGTCCATGAAAGGTATGGAAGCAGAGTAAAACATTGTTACCATTTACTAATACTAGATATGCAAAACAGTATATGCAGTTCCTTGTCCAAATTCATATGACACATTTATAACCATTTAGTCTAGAGATATTTTGGAGTTAAATTATTGTTCCAAAAACCAAAACAACACATCATGGAGATGTAATTTTATTGCAGATGAATTTGTGTTAACATAATCAAACAACTCAAAGATGAAAGTTTCAACATCAAAATGCCAACATGAGAAGCCACTATCAGAGATTAGCTCCTGCTACACGCGGGGAAGGGTCAGACCACAAAGATCTTTTTTACGCAGTTTTACCCTGCATTTCTGCAAGCGGTTGTTCCCACAGCTCAAACCGGTGACCTCCTGGTCACACGGCAGCAACTTTACCAATTATTCGAGGCTCCCCTTCTATCATAGAATAGATGTGCATAGAAAAAAATAAAATAAGCAGCAGGTGCAGACAGCATATTATAATCCTTTAATGGGAAAGATAAAAATAAACACTTTGTTCCTCAAGGGCAATCTCCACTTGGATAAAGAATGCTCATATTAAAATTTAGTTAGAATTTAGGAACTTTATGTCCCAAAAGTTCATAAAAGGGCACAGTGGGTAGAATTGTTGCTGTACTTACAAATCTGAATTATACCTATCATTGCTTTACTCATTTGCTTTTCATTTTATTCTTGTCCACCACTCCAGCTTCTATAATTAGCTTTTGGCTTTTCCCTTAAAAATATATCATAGCATCTTTTCCCCACAAAAAACAGACGATATCAAGACCAAAACTTCAGAAAAATATTATTCTTACAGATCATTTACTGATAATTAAAAGTACACACTTCTAACACAAGAATCAACAAATCATTCCATTGCAAACCTTAAACTGAAAGAATTTAGGACCAGGGGAGGAGCGAGAAGCTCCTTGACAGGTTCGGTCGAACCCAGTGACTTTTTGTGTATTTGTGTTAATATATTTATTAAATATATACAAATATTAAATTTAGAACCCGGTTATTACCATTCGAAATCGTCGTTCTAAATTCCAGAACCCAGAATCTTCGCTCCGCCTCTGTCTAGGACATAACATAAGCCCAAAATCATTTTGAGTTATGATCATTACGTTTAATCTACTGAGCAATTATCATAAAAGGCAGTAAATTAATTGACCCTTTGCTTCAACACGGTAAAACCTTTAATTAACCTGCTGAAACTAGTACTCCATTGATATGCTACTGCTGGTTAAATTTTTTACACTGCCAGTATTATATAACTTAAGAAGGAGACTTGGCGTAACTGGTAAAGTTGATGCCATGTGACTAGGAGGTTCACGGGTTCGAGCCGTGGAAACAGCCGCTTACAGAAATGCAGGGTAAGGCTGCGTACAAGAGACCCTTATGGTCCGGCTCTTCCCTGAACCCCGCGCATAGCCGGAGCTTAGTGCACCTGACTGCCTTTTTACTACTATTATATAACTTAAATCCTAAAATTTATGGAACAAAATGGAATTTCAAGCTATAAAGCTCATTAATCGTTATCAGCAGTTCACGATTCACCAACCATAAAATTAAAACACCAAAAAATAATTCAAATAAAAATGCAAAATTCAAGTTTTTTTTTATACTTACTTATTTCCTTTGATTTTGAACCATGTTTCAGCACAATGCTTATGTGCAGCCGCCAAATCATCTTTACATGAACATCCCAATTCAATGGCAATCTCACACTCACTCACCAAACTCAGGTGGCAAATTCTACAGTCTCGTTCAATTTTCACCTTACTTTCACCATCTCCATTTTCTATATCCACTGAATTATTAGACTCATTGGCACATGCATCAGCAGTGGAATAAAACTGAGAATAACAAGAACCCTTATCGGCGTCGGAGATATTGACACTGACGGAGCTCCGGCGACTGTGGCCGGAGCACTCTAAGCCCACGTGGGACAACTCTACTCTTGCCATTTCAATGACGCGGATAGAGAAAATTCCTTCTCAATAGTGAAAAAAGGAAAGAAAAAAAAAGAATTAACTCCTTCGATTGGAAACCGCCTCTCTGCCCTTTCGGGTAGAGGTAAGGCCTACCCTCTCCAGGCCGGACTATACTGGGTAGTTGTTTTTGCTTTAGTAGTATTTGCAACTTCAAAGATTTGATTTTTATAGTACACTGCATGAGTTAAGGCTCTGTGTTTCTGCCTCTATTATTAATATGAAAAAGTAACGAGGTGGGTGATGGATTTGGTGATATATTAACTCAAATATCTTAAATTGTGCACCAAAAAAGAGAACAAGAGAGAGACTGCGTTAAAGTTTTACTACAACAACAAATAATATAGCCGGTGTATTCTACGGTATGGGATCTGGGGAGGAAAGCGTGTACACAAATGTTACTCCTACCTCATGAAGGTAGAGAAATTGAATTTATAAAGTTTACAGTAACAAACAACATACCAGTGTATTAGTGTATTACTATAGTATGAGGTCCGGGGAGATTAGAGTTTATACGCAAACCTTACCCTATCTCGTGGAGATGAGAGACTGTGTTAAAGTTTTAGGGAATGTAAATTGCAGAAAAGAGAGGGGAAAAGAACAATAACGTAAAAGTGAGAGGCTCATGGTTATGTTGTAATATAGCTGTGAGACAAAGGCCCTACCCTTTGGACAATTGTTATAGTTGATAATGAGATGTATTTTGTTTGCTTTTACTACAATTTAGATATTTTTAAGTAACCATAGCATAAGGGTATTAAGCTCTCGCTATGCGCGGGGTCCAAAAATTGCCGGAGTCTATTTTTAAGTAACCATAGCATACGATTTGAAATTCGATAAATAAGAGTGACATAATTGAAACATACGACGTGCGTCTTAACTCACATATTATCATACCACTAAATCAAAGCCCGGAGAGCTATGAGCATCGACTAATTTGAAAAAGAAAAAAAAAAAGGTAAAGCGCGGGTGCTGATCGAATTTCATATTTTTAGTTCGTACCTAAATGTGAGTTTTAAGTCTATCTAAATCTTACTAAAATGTGACCTGATTATAATTATCAAATTTCATATTCAATTCTTACCGAAGTGTCAGTTCAAGTATATTCGTTCTTACTAATGCGAGTTTAGGCTTAAACGTGAGAACCGACTGTTTAACCAAAAAAATATAGATTCTAATTCAAATAATTAAATTTATGTAAATAAGAGGTTAATCTTAGCTAACAATAATATTCTTAGATGGGGTTTTTAAAGAAGCAATAAATATTAAGCAAGTACGGTCAAACAGTGGCAGTGGTATGTAGTGAATATTCCGCAAATCAAAAATAACAATGTAACATTTAATAATAATAAACAGCAATAAATGACATTTAAGTAAATAAAATGAGTGTGTCACCCAAGAAATGATGGAATGAGGGGATGTTCTTTCTGACAATGATGAATGATAGACAATCCCTTGAATATTTGAGTTATTCTTGTCACACCTCCTTTTTTACACACCTACCCCGAAGGATAATGTATAAGGGAGTTTTTCCATTTAAAGCGACATTATTCGAAATGAGATTATTTATTTATTTTTTAGAGTCGCCACTTGGGAAAGGATTGGCTTTTGGTGTCCCAAGTCACCGATTTAATTTAAATCCCAAATCGAGGAAAATTTCGACTTCCCAATTGGAGTCTGCGAACCAGAAATTCTGAATAAGGAATTCTGTTGACCCGAGGGAAGGTGTTAGGCACCCCCGGATCCCGTGGTTCTAGCACGGTCGCTTAAATTATTATAAATGGCTAAAAATCTGATTTTTATACATGTTCAAACCTATAGTGCAATTTTATAAATTTGCTTAACCGCTTTTAATTAGTTTTTTTTTTTTTATGAAAGTGAACGCCGTTTAAGAGCGTGTTTTTGGATCACGTCACATGAAATGCACCCGGATCCTCGACACCTCTTATTCAACGTTTTGGGATTTGGATTTGGGTCGCATGAAATGCACACCCGTATTTAAGAAGGTAAAATTATTAAAAGCGCGCCTAAAGTGGCTAGCGTCTTATTAACTTTGCGGGAAGCCATGAAAATTCGCTAAATGGCATGTCCGGTTTCTAAAATATATATTTTTTTACTATAATTAAGAGGGTCACGCAATATGTGATATTTGTTTGGCGCGGCACACCTCATTTGATTTTTAAAGGCCAACTTAGAGCAAACTATCATTTTCTATTAAATTTGTCTCTAAAAGGACTTAATTTGGTTAAGGAATCCGGGCCCTCAAACTCAAGTCCATATTTGAACAAGAGGAAGGCCTCTTAATTCAAACATGCTGCCTAGCTTGGAAGGCCCAAAACCTATGTTATAAAATTAGACCCACAAACTTAATACAAATTTAAGCCTTCAGCATTTTTGGGCTTTAAAATTAGCCCAGAATGAAGAAATACAAACGGCCAACTTCATGAGAAGCTGCCTCGTTTTGAATTGACTAACAAAATCCCAGTAATTAAACAATTTAAACATATTTCTAGACTGTACATATTTCAAAGTAAACAGGTAAAATGCATCAGTTTGTAAGCCGATTTTAAATCTAAGTTGCATGCTCGCATATAGGCTGTACATGTCCTGGATATACACATGCTCATTTGAAGAGTTTATTTCGGAACAAAACATCTAAACCTGTATACTACATTTGCAGAGTTTGTCGAGCATGATCCTAAACCTAAATCCAATTTAAATGTCCATGACATCAGATTTAAAGTGATATTAAGTTGTACTGAGACTAATTACTACTGGATCCCCCAACGTGCCAAACAACAATTTAAAACAGTCCAGTTACAAATCAGTCTAAGTAGTCTGAGTTAATTACAACATTCGACTACTCAAATTTAATTGAACGGAAATATGAACTGATGCGAAAGGGAAAGCAACGAAGAACAGAAGCAGCAAGCAAGGAAGCTAAATGAGCCATTTCCATTTCATTTATCTTAACTCAAGCATACATTATCTGGGATTCAGGACTTGTACCTGGAATTCGAACCAAAATAAGAAGAGGAAGAAGTCAGCAGCAGTAAACAGTATCCAGCAACAATAAGCAACAATCAGCAGCAATTTTGAACTGACTTTTGACCCAGAAATAATTTGTTCAATGAACAGCAGCTAATTTCAATTGAGCAAAACCAATGAACATCTGAGACTAACTCGAATGAGTTCAAAACAACCAGAAATGATCTCAGGAGCTTTTGAAGACCATAATTACTGGATCAGGACTACTCAAGCCATTTTTGTCAACTTAATCTAAGCTAGAGGTTCAAATTAGAAGCTGAAACTGAAATTACTGTAAGAAAACTATAAGGACACAGAATTTTTGGGATTTTTGGTGTTATATTTTTGGTTTTTGGAAATCTAGATCTAGAATGAAAATGTTCTCTCAGATTTCAAAATTTTTTTTTTTGGTTTTTGGGGAACTTCAGGGGTTCAAAAACTTGTCAAACAAGGCAATGAGCATGCCTTTTTATAGGCAAAGCCTAGGGCAGCCTTCAGATTTCTGTTTTAACTCGTTAGCCCCTCAATTATTAGCTTATTGGTCAAGTTAAACCCATTATTTACTATTAGACCCCCTACTAGAAGCTTCTGGGAATTTCTCAGGTAGTTTCTAAAGGGTTCTCTAATTAAAAAAACCTATACTACCCCTGAATTGCCCCCTAGAATTATTAACCTATGTCAAATAAACCCAACCTCTTTTAAATTTGTCAAGAAATGACCATGGTTAACTTTCAGAGAGTTTGGAATATTTCAGTAATAACCAAACGTATTCCAATCAAAACCAAAACCAAAAATTGGAATACAAAAAAATCTAACTAAACCTAATTTAGACTTGAATTAACTACTAGAATCAGATTCGAAGATCATTATTATCAATTATTAGTCAACAGAAAATTAAGACATAAACAAAAATTAATCAAACACAGAATCATGTAATTAGTGCGAACAGAGGGAAGAAACTAAAAACCTAACAAAGAATCTAAAACAAAAACTGGCAAGCAACATCAAGGCATCATTATTAAACTTGACGAAGAACTAACATGAAGGAGAGGCCAATTTCAATCAAAAGAAATTCAACTATATGGAGAAAAAGGAACAGGAGATGAACAAAAAGAAAAACAAATACGGAACTTACTGATTCAAGCCCTAATATTGATTGACTTTCGAATCTGATCCCCAAATAATGTTATCTGCCTATTTTTGCCAAAAAATAAACGAACAACATCATTTGAGGATCAGTTGAACACTGGAAAATCCGAGCAAGGCTGAAATTCCTCTTGGACCTTTGAACCTGAACCCTAGATCTAGGATTCGAGTGGTTTAAACTGGATTTGAGAAAATCTGGTTTGAAATTTAGGAAGAGGGGGTCAAGGTGGGTCTAGGGTGTAAGTTTGGAGTGGTTTGGTGGTGGCGCCGCCACCGGAGCACTTGTGGTGGCGCTAGGGTTTACGGTTTCAAATCAGGATTCGTGGGATTTGGGATTGATTCGAGGGAAACCAGTGGTAGATATGGAATGAGGAGAGAAAGAGGATTTAGTGGTGTAAATTTGGGACGATTTGGACGTTGGCCGCCGCCGTGGGCGATTTCCGGCGGCGGCGTTAGGGCGGAGCCGGCGGAGGGAAGAGGTACGAGGAAGAAAGAATGGTCTCTAGGGTTAGAGAGTTATTTGGACACTTTTATTTTAATTCAATATTCAATCCAGGCCGTTAGATTTGAGGGGATGGACGGACAGGATTGATTGACGCCAAAACGGCGTCGTTTAATTATTAAGGGAGCTGGACCGGGTTGGGGTGTTTGGGCCAGTAGATCCGGTCTCAAGGGTTTGATTTGGGCTGGTTTGATTTAAAGGGGATTTGAGGGGTTTGGGCTTGACTTTGGCCCAAAAATGGGTGGCCTTATGCCCCTATTTTAATTTCTTCTCAATTAACTCCTTTTCTTTTATTTAATTC